TCATCGCCAGCCTGTACAACAACGCTATACACAGCAGTACCGGCGTTAGTCCTAACCAGCTGCACTTGGGATGAAAGCCTAGATCTGCTCTAGACTTCCTCCTACCTGAAAACTGATCCTCTGCAACTCCCGATACACTAGAGTATAGTGTGCAATATGAGAAATTGTTGCAGCAAGCTGTCAAGCATATTAAGAAAGCTCAGCAAGCAATGATTGCTTCTGAGAACAAACATCAACGACAGTCCTCATTTCAGGTAGGGGAACGTGTCTGGGTCAAGGCTAGTGAGCTAGGACAGGAATTCAGTATCTCTAGAAAACTAATGCCTCAGTACTTTGGTCCTTGGGAAGTCCTGGATGCAGTGGGGGATGAGATGGATGACCTTAGCTATGCTATCCGCATCCCTGGACACCTACGCACTCACCCTGTCTTTCATGCCTCGAAGCTTGCACCTTTCGCTGAGACTGATCAATTCCCTTCAAGGAGATCGATGCTGCCCCCAACAATGGATGGTCAAGTGGACATCGACGACATTGTGGATCACAGAGATCTGCCTGTTCAGAAGCCATTGGGTAGGGGAAGACCTCCTAAACCCAAGAGAGAATATTGCATCAGATTCAGGCATCATACGGATCCAAAAGAAGATCGGTGGTTCACCAGAGAGGAACTGATTGACACAGCTCCTCAAGTGGTGGCAGACTATGAAAGAAAGTTAAAAGGGAAGGCACCTGCGAAGTAAGCATCTCAACGGACTCTCAAAGCTAAGGGGGATGGAATGAGAGGATTGAGCCCTCAAGAAGGGGCCTTGCCATGATGTGTACATGTTATGGGCTAAGGCCCCAGCAAGCCTCGTGCCCGCCCTAAGTGAAGGCGGGCCAGCAAATCAACAAGAGCCCTTTGAGCAAACATTTCACGAAGTGGGGTCCATACAGTTGCAGCACGCCAGTTGGTTGGAGTGCACTAAGTCTCGAATCTCTGCAAATGTGGAGAACCCAGGGCCTTTGAGTTAGTTAGGCCCTGGGCACTTGAACGTGAGGCCGATAATGCATGCTGGGTATAGAGGCCAAAAATGCCAAAAGGAAATCGGCCCCCTATCTGAATCTGGCCGCAGGCCTTGACGAAAGAGGCGCAACTGCATCACCCGGGCCCCAATTGCATCGGGCATGGGTTCAGGCACCGGGGCCCAGTCGCAGGCTGAAGGAAGGCCGCCCACCCGCAACACTGGCATATAGGCAAGCAGGGCGAGTGGGATCTTGGCCAATTCGAGCATTGCCGGCATGCTGCACAAATGCGAGTTGCTGCACTGCGCTAGGACGGAGGTGCGAGGCAGGCCGGCGCTAGGCGGTAGGGCGCTGCCTGTGCACTGAGCGCTGGTGGCCATAGCCGGGCTGCATAGGGCGCAGGGGAGGTGAGGGCGAAGGTGGTTCTTCGGAGGTGAAGGGCGCTGTGTGGGTAACAAGGGAGAGTGTGGGTGAAGAGGACACATACCTGGTGGAGG